CAAAAAAAATCGCATAACTCAAAAACAAAACAAAATTTCGTTCTGAAAATACGATCACATTTTTTATATTACTTTAATTTATATTAATTATTATTTGCTGGAGGCCAATGATTAAAAATAAAACCGCTTGGTTCCATACTTTATATTCACCCTGTATATGATTTGTTCAATTACAATTTTACGTAATTTTATTATAAGATTTTTCTGACTTTAAAAAAAAATATGTATACAAGCTTAAAAAGTGTTTTGAAATAAAATAATAAGGAATGAAAAAATTAAGGAAAACAACTAGGGACGCCCGTGCATCTAAAAACTTGCAAACTAAAAAGTTGCAAACTAAAATTGGTCACTCCTAAAAATTCAATGCTGTTCAACAACTGATGAATTTAAAATAATGTAATATGAATCCTGTAAAGATAAAGAGACCAGAAAATTCCAAATCATGACATTAATAAAAATAATTATAATTTTATTCTAGAACACAAACTTAAGAATTAAATAGGTCTTTTTATTGTAACTGTATAGAAATTTAGATATAATAAGAATACCTATAGAATGCAAAATGTTAACATGAAAAACAAAAGATAATTTTTAGATCCTAATCTAATAATTAACATATTAATTCATTGTTTTGTGTTAATTTCAATCTTTTTCTATATGAATTGCTTTGAAAATTTCTTCGTTCACTGCAAACATTTTTTTAAATTTATACAAGTCATATTAATATTTCATTTGGTCATCATAAAGCAATTTTTAAGTGAACACAAACACAATTTAAACCCGACACACCAAACTTTTGTTTTAAACACAACGCGTTTTAACCATAAAGTGGTCATCCTCAGGTGAGAATATTCTCACCTGTTAAATAACTAAGCTAATTAATTTCATTAATCATTACAATAGATCTTAAAAAATTTGTAATCAAAGCTCAAGCTGTACAAATCACTTGTCCCAGTGGTTAACATCTTTGTTATTGATGGATCAAAATACTTCAGTGATAATGCATCATAAGTTGCCAATGAAATACAAAGTCTTTTAAGCAAAAAACTAAAGCACATCATCTTTCCCATTTTACCGTAAAATAACTTATTTATACCAATTTGTTGTCAAATTAGTTTTTGTAAAATGACCACAGTCACGCATGTTATTACCTTGCTTTTCAACATTTTGTGTTTGTTTTAAAGTCGATAATAATAATGGTTTCAGTTGTGGAAGTACTTATTACTTTAGCACAACCGTATAATTTTCACCAAAAATATATTACTGATTTCATTCCCTCGGTCGTAAACTGGTACGTTACAAAATATATTATTTCTTATGTCTTAAACTTTCGATTCCGTACATATTTCTTTCGGTCCACGTAATTAAAGAAGTTGATTTATGTGACACTTATTTGACAACAAGTTGATATGTCTGATTTGTGACAGACGGTGAAATCGTGGTTGAAAATTTTTCGGAGTGTTTTACACAGAATTTAGATTTTTTTAGGACAGAATCGTCGACCGATAAAACCAATAATGGAAATTTTCTAAGATGAAACAATTTGGCAAACTATCGATCATGTGTTAAAACAAACACCTGTCATACTCATTTTTTATTAAAATATGTTAATATGTGTATAATTCAGCAGTCAAACAAGTACCAACATGTACATATTTCATAATTATTTATGATCACATTTATAGTATTAAAGTTTAACAAGAATTGCTAATTGCCACAGTTAATTGGACATTAAAACTGAGGTTATATCTTAGTTTTAACACCATTTTATCACTCCTGTAATAGATCCAAGGGTTCTTCCTTTTTACTCATACTAAAACACGAATCATAAAATTAAATTGTCTAAAGAAAAATAAAAAGAATTCAATTCCAGCTGCACTTCCACTAATTAATTTCACATTACGGATTTTTTCAAACCAAACCGGAATTAAACTTAGTAATTATTCCACTCTATCGACGCGAAAAACACTTTTCCAGCTCATTCCAAAGGTCATCTTTCGATTAAATCCTAGATAAGAAACAGTTTGCATGCTGATTCATGCGTCAATTAACAACAATCAGACCCGTCCAATTTAACACTGAAACAAACACCACAAAAGCAAAAAGACAAGTGGGCGTCCAAGAGTTTTTATCTGCAAATCTCCGGTAGCCAAATTGATTTTTATTTTTATTTCCAGTTCCCGCGAACTCATCAAGGCCGCAATTCTGGACAACGATTTTATGAAAAATTTGGAAAGCACTCAAATCAAGGAAATCGTCGATTGCATGTATCCGGAAGCGTACAGAGCCGGAAGTCTTATCATTAAAGAAGGCGACGTTGGAAGTATCGTCTACGTACTGGAAGGTGAGTTATGCAACCAATTAAACGCGTGTGTTTTGTTTGTTGTCTATGGTTATGGTCAAGTCGCGTATTATGAATGTTGTTGACCTCTTGACGATTTAAGACGACTGGGAATTATCAGTATTAACGAAAGTGAAGTGGGGGGTTACTAATTTTGTAATTCAGACGGGGAATACTTTCAAGGATTTTTATCATAAAATGTTTATATTGTAGATTTTTTTGTTAATAGTTGCGAATTTCTGATCCTGTTGCCATGTGCACCAGCCTTGATCTTTCACGTGGCTGCAGGAATATAATTACTTTCACTGCTAGTCACGTTGACGGGGTGTTTACTTATGTATTAGTTTTGTTAAAAATTGGCAGGTCAAGAGTTAAATTGTTAACAAATTATTATTATTAAAACTTTTTCTGTCAAAGCGGGGCTAAGTTGTGACTTGTTAAAGGCATGTCGGGGCTTGAGTCACCACCTACGATACATATTTCTTAGTCACTAATTCCAGTTTCGTTAGATTTGCACTTTTATGTATAATTTTGTTGGTTCTTTTAATGTCAAGGCGAAACGTTGGCATTTTTTGTTACAGTTTAAACATTTGAGAGTTTTAATTGACTTTAAATTGGTCAACAGTTGACAGTTAATTTGATCTTAAAATTGATTTTATTGGACAATAAAGAAGGATTTCCGGGAGTCCCCATAGACGTTTCTTCTACTTAAAAAACTGTACAATGACTTCAATTTATATAAATAGATTTATTCCTCCGTGCGTAGGTCTTAGCTTAATGTCTGCATAAATTAACATATGACCTCTCTTAAACACTACTTTCATTTATCTGTAATTATCCAAAATTAACACAAGTGGTTTTAACGAAATTTCTTTGTTTTATTGTGTGTAATCAATATTATGTTTAGATACGTGATGAGTTTATTTTCGTTTTCATTTTACCTCTTTCTATTTATACTTTTTATTGACACAAGTAGAAACACAAAACCTGAATAATTTTCTTTTTTTGGTAATTACAAAGAAACAAAAATACGATCGTTTTCAGTTCCCATCGAGTTTAAAAACGTTTAATGATATCTGAGAATCTGTTGGCGACATTGTTAATGATGTGATAATGATAAAAGTACCATCTACGTTACTGTGGAAAAGAAAATAATTTCTTTATTTTCTCACGAATGGTGTAATAAATTTGGTTTAGTGGGTAATAATTACAGCTTTGCGATTTAATTTGGACAATTTTTTACAATAATTGGGGCAATTGCAGTTTAGTTAACAATGGGATTGGTATTTTTACCAAGATGGTCAACTTTTTGTATACATAATATTATGGTATTTTTACCAGTGTTTTGGACTTGCTATTTATTCTCTTTGTTTAATTTGGGTAATTTGGCATGTTCCACTTTGCCTAAAAGCTTTACAATTTTTTCTTTCTATATAACGTAAAAAAAATTCGGGATGTTAATCTTTTCCTTGGTATTTGAGTGGCACTAATTTTTATTTCTTGGAAAAATATGAATTAAATTAGAAATTGAAAGAGATAGTACATCTAGTCTTTGGAATTCAGATTTGTGGTGATTTCGTCTTGGTTTCTTAGTTTTTATGATGCCTCGTAAAAGGTTAGAAATCGAGTTAATGGAAAATTAAACCGACGATTAATTAATTAATGTAATTATAATAAATGCACACATCGTATATTTTAGACGAACTGTTTAATAAAATAAAATTACGAAATCAAACAAAATTCAACAATAAATTACATAAACTAAGAAAGATTAAATAATTTACGTTGGGTAATTTACCCTCAACACTTTTATCACTGCATTGTTTATCCTTGATAAGCTTGTCTTGAGTGAATTTTTTGTAATTAGAACGGAAAATTGTTTTCACTTTATAATAAATCTTTCCAATTAATCTAGTCAAGTTTTTTTCCACAATCTCTTACAGCCTAGGGTACTTTATTCACCAAGTATATGCTATAAGTATTACCAAAGAAAAGAGAAACGAATAAACAAAGCATTCACACAATGTTTCCAGTTCATTAATTTTTGCTTGATTAATTGCTCTTGATTTTTTGCACAAGATCAATAACCTAGAAAGGACCAAATAATCATTCATCCTATTACTTAAAATACCTCGTTTATAACTACAAGAAATTAAAAATGATAGTCGTCACAATTAATTCACCAAAAAAGTTGAGAGAATTTCAAACAAAGACCATTTTTGTTTAAAAATTAACAAAGGAAGTTTAGTTGTAATAACACGAATTATTGGTTGAAGAACTTCCTTTGATATTATTGTCATTAGCTTCTCTACCTTGTTATTATGATAAAAAGAAAGAATTGCGAACTCGGTGAAGTAAGTAGTATTTTACTTCCTTTCGATTTTTTAATATCTTTATATTTACTATTTTCACAAGCTTGACTTTTTGTTTTATTCAGTGAACACGACATTGTTAAAAAACATTTTTTACAAATATTTGTATCACAATGGTGAAAATAAATTTCTCTATTCGGAGAAATAACACAAAGACAAATTTATTTTTATTATTAGAAATTTAGCGCTTTACGTTATTGTGAAAATCCTGCAAAAACCTGCGCGACGTCACACCGCATCAAATCCGCACCATCACCGAAGGCTGTATTTTCAGCCGTCTCCCTACTTTCCTGCTGATTTCCTGCTGCCGCTCTCAGTCAACGTCCATATCTCGAAGGTGACGGTTTCGCGCTCGGAACCCTTCACCGTCGACCTCGTGCTACGAAAACGTGAAATGTAGTTCCGCGTCTGAAGACATTTCCATCCAAAAGTGTAAGAATCTGTGTTCCCGGAGTTGCTGCTGGGCCCGGAAAATCCGGAAATGACACACATTCGGTTATTTTTAATTTTTTCTTCGAGCCGGAGTGAAAGTATCGGGGCCACTGGTGTTCGTGCGAAAAATTATAGTGAATCTATTTCGGTAAAAAACCGGCCAATTTGTTCAATAGCCGCTGTTAGAACCAGTTTTGTATGTAGTTTTGGGTGTCGTAAGCCTCGGAAGGATTAGAAAGTATTGCGATTTTGCCGGTTGTTATCAGATTTGGTGTTACTTTCTTTAACTACCGATGGTTGACCTCGGTTAGGTCCAAAATTGCGAAAGTGTTGGTTTATTAGCAACCTTGAGGTGGTTTTTCTCGGTTTATTGACGCACATACACCTAGTTGGGCGGTTTTCCGGTTGGTGTCGTAAGGGAGGAAATGAGAAAATAGTTGGAAATTTTCAAAACGTGGTTTCTCTTTAATTGGAGAATTTGGAATTTTTCTCCCATATCAAGATTGAAATGGTGGTCGGTGCAATGATTCGAAAAGGAAATGACCCGAAAATGTAGTATGAATAAAACCAGAAATTGCGGAAAGGCCAAATGATACAAAAAGTTATCGTAATTTTCGTGATTTGTAAAGATCCACAAAGAAATAAATAAAAATTGCATTATGATAAGTTAAAAATATTATGCTTATTACGCACTTCTTATCTGTATTTTTATTAATGAGATGTTTTCATTTGTTCATTAGAAACAAATATCAAACAAATTTTTATCTCCAGTAAATTCCTTGAATATTTTTGGCAATATTTTGTCGTTTTAAAAAAATCGAAACCTGATTTGAATAATAAAATTGCTTGGTTTCTAAAGCTTGACAGAATTAATTAATGGTTGTCATGAATAATGCTATAAATTCGCTTGGATTTAAATTTTAGACATACCTATAGATTTTTATAATGTAAAACACAAAAATCGGTCATAAACATAGCAAAAATACACTGTCTCAAAAACGAATGTAAAATTTTCAACATATTTGTATTTTTACTATCATCATAATTTAGTTGAAATTTTATATAATTTTTTTCTGATTTATGAATCATTATTGTCCTGGCAAAAAAATATTAACAGCGCGATAATTCATTGGATAAGAGTCAAAAATTGTTTTTAGTATGATGTTGACGAATTTTCCCACAATGAAGCTGGACTGTCTAGGTTTGTAGAAGAATTCTTAGGAAATTTTAAAAATGAACATTGTTAATTTGAAGTGCCAACTCTGCTACAAGTTTATTTTTCGGATTTCTTACAAAATTTGCATACTTTTTTAAAAACATCTGGCAATTTAAATTTCGAGCATCTGCTTTTTTCCCTCCAATAAATCTAAAACATGTGCAAAAATAATCTTACCAAGTGTTTCTCTCTGATATAAATAATTTGGTTTCAAGAATTATTTATTTTGGATGTGAAACACGTCTCGCATTATCTGTTATACCAGTCATACATTATCAATTTGAATCAGTTATAAATTTGATTACATTGTGACAAATCGATCATTCACAATCAATAAATATTAGAAATATCATAAAAAGTGCTGTCAGAAACGAATCTTTCGATAAGAACAAAGAATTATTTTTTAAAGAGTTTAAAGCGGTTGTAGACCTCCAAACTTTTTTAAAACAATGCGGCGATAAGTTACCAAAACAATAACAAAGAAAGGTCGTTTGGAAGGAAAAATTGAATCACTGTTAGAAACAGGTGGATTCTTGTCTACCGGAAGGCCGGAATTTTCGTAAAGGTGTCAAGTGCGTTTTTTCGATACTTGATTGTCTTGACAGAGAACGGGAACGGAACTGATTAGACTCGCCACCGAGAAAACCATTTGACCCAGTTATGACCACCGATGAGATCAGCAAAGTTCCAGATGTTCATAAGGGAAAAAAAACTTTCGGTTTCTTGTGGATCGTCTTCGCGTAATGTTACCAAAGCTGTCGTTGCACAATGTTCATGCTCTAGTTGTCGCCCAACCAAACAACAGTCGAAAAATGATCGTTTCCTTTGTGTTTGCTCTGGTAAATGTCACGGCGAAAGTATGCGGAGTTAATTATTGTAAAAACGATTAAATTGCAATCTTGCGCTCGTTTACCTCCAGGATTTCTGGACGAGGTATTGTTCAATTGTCGAATGGGCCGGTTGTGGTAATAGTGAAAGGCGATTTCGATGAAGAATCGGTTTACAGAGTTGGATTTCGCGTCCAAGGAATGCGTTTGTAGCGATTTTGACCTTGTTTGATGGAAAGTGATGTGCTAATGAGGCGGTTTTGATTGTTTTTAAAGAGACGTGCTCTAGCTCCTGATACCAAAAAGCACAAGCTTAAACGATCTTTTTTTAACAATTTTAACTCGTTTTTTAGCAAAATGTAAACAATTTTTTACGGATTTACGCGATCTGATGAATGTTTATTTAGCTTAATTACAGTTTTACAGCTTTCAATTATTCTACCAAATGAGATGAGATATCTTCTTGCATAATTTATGATAAAATATCAAACAAATTAAAAGAAAAAATTTCAAAATTTAAAAAATATAACAAACATGCCAGTGTTTTTTTGTAATTTGTTGTAATAAATTAGTTATAAATTAGTGTTGCAAAAATATTAACCATTTTTCAGACTATTTCAGTTACTTTAGTGATTCAATTTTTTAAATTATATTACTTTTTTTACATTTTAGTGATTCTGGAACAGTTTTTTTTCTTTATCTGTAACTTTATTTTTATTATGGAGTTTATTGGAGCGGTCCTAGTTCCTCAAAGACGGCTGAAATTGTATTTAATTGCCATTGAATTAACCTAATGAACCAACAAACGCTAATGCCACTTTAATTGCCTCTATTATTTACAACTTACATAACTGAGGTCGTACTTTAAGTTTTTCCGTAAAATTCGGTTTAAAAAAGAAAGGACAAGTTACGTAAATCCACAAATTAATTTAATTATTATCATTATTCACTAATAACGGATGACAAGAAAATATCGTGAACACCAAAATAACTATCATTTCGGGCTTGTTGCAATTGGATGTTACAATAACTTGTTTTGAAAATCCGCTTCATTTCATGTTATTATTATTATTAATTGTATGTATGAGGTAATATTTTCATTTATTATTATTTTGTAACAATGTCGGTGCTTTAATTGAAGTGTGAACAAAAGTCAATTGGGTAATGGCCCGATGTAGAGCAGGTTTATGTGACTATGTAGATATAAAAAAATATATTTGAGTGAAATTTTTTGGAAAATGATGTTTTAGTATTATTTAGCAATATCTTGTTGGCAGCATTGTTAACGACGTGATAATAAAAGCACACCTACTTACGACTTAACCATGTGCAAAAACATTAATTTCTTTATTTCCTCGCCTTCATTTTTATAGACTTGTGCAGTAAATTAACTTTCATGAACAATAATTAAGCTTTTACGACACTTTTTATGACTCAATATTACTTATATGCAAAGAAGAAAAATTTATAACTAGAAATAAATGATTCACTTGGTTACTCCGGCTCGTTTATTGATTTGCATCTTTCTTTGATTTTCTTGTAGCAAAAGGAAATGAGTTTTAAAAGAAACAGACTGGAAATATCCTCGTTCTGAACAATAATTTAATGGTTTTACAATCAAATCGTGGCTTGTGTTAAGAAAAAAACGTTTCAAGGAGGCGCTTCAACACCGATCACCACTTTAATTCCGGCTTTTGAAAGTACTAATTGGTACTCATTGATTAATCATTAAGTACTTTCAACACTCAACTTAATAAATGTCAGGATGAGCTTAAGTGTTTATTAAACCAATATCGGACTTATTAAATTTGAGCCACTTTTCAAAGGGATTATTAAATACTTTATTACTCTTTAATCGTTTTCAAAAAATTTTATTCATTTGTAACAATTTCAGCAAAAATAAATCACGAATCAATGTCAACAAGAGACATTTTCAGAAAGACAAATTAGCATTCAAATTGCACATGAATTCTATAGACACTTTTACTTTCAGTGTCTCCTACAAGTCCTAAAATAAATAGATCACAAAAAAATAATAATAAAACTGAAGAAACCTGATTTTTATGTCAACCTTAAATGGTATGTAATCCTCCAACTATAATTCCTGTTATTAAATTAACATAATTAGAAGGCATTTATCGCTGTAAACGCTCCACTTGTTTAATCTAAGTGGAAATTAGACCGTTACGTAACAAACCTTTCTTGTCTCATTTGAGAATTCGCAAAAATTTTGCTTTTATCGATACATTGGACCAATTAATTTAATTAGGAGTTGAGTTAATTAATTTGTAAAATTAGAATTTTCCATTTAAATATACAAATTGACCAATCGGGAAAGAAAGTGTGTCTTTGGACCGGAAAATGGGCCAGCAGCAACATGCCAATTTCACGCTTCTTCACTTCTTCATAAATTTTCTCTACAGAACAAAATGAAGATCAAACATTACCCTGGCAAAGCGGTGATCAACGATCCCGCTTGGTTAGAAATGGACATTTCTAATGATATCAGAGGACGACAATATGAAGCAAATTGGGAAGACACTCAACGAAATTTATCTTCAACTAATAGTTCGGGGTCGAATTCTTGGGATAAGTACAGCGAAGGGACACTTTCGTCAAAATTGGGGCATTATCAGAACATGTTAGATGAGTTAGCCCAAGAAGAGTTATATACACAGCCTATAAAAAAGGAGGAGAAGCCTAAATACCACAGTGAGAAGTGTTTGGCTAGGATTAACAATAATTCAGTTCCGAATTATTATTTACCTTCGCAAGCGAAGATACAGAAAAGTCGAAGTTTTAAAGAGTCTGAAGATAAGAAACCGATACCTAAACCTAGGACCAAGTTGGCCAAAAATTTCGATAATGAATTCAAGAACGTTGTTAATGATTTAGAAAAGCAAATCAAGTCGGTCAGGTTTAATGAAGAGGAAGAAGAAGGAACTGGACAAAGAGTTAGTGAATGGATTGATGATCAAAATAAATATATCTTGACTGATAATGTTCTTATCAAGGGCGAGGACCTCCCTAAGAAGCCCCGCCAAAGGATCCCCCCTCGCAATCTCACACCATCTCCTTCCGAAATCAGCGATGACCCTCCTAGTGCTTACGATCTGTACAAAAGTGGTGTAAAAGCGCCAGTTCGCGAACCAAAAAACAGTGATTTTCTCATTCCTCGTCCGAAACTGATCGTCCCTGTGCATACGTATGCGGTGAGGAGACGGCGGACCGGCAACTTGCAGTGTGCCGGCGAAGAGGTCATCAAGAACAAAGATTCGGGTGAGTTTTTCGGAGGCGTGCTGGTATTTGGCGAAAGGTCGGCCTACGTGCTCTTGTCTGGAGTGCCTGCGCGGAATATTTATCCGGGGACGAGTATTGTGTTATCAAGAGGTTGATGGTGGGTGGTGGGTGTGGCGGTTTGGAAAAATTATGGGCTGGGAGATGTATGATGCGTTGCAATAAGTGTAATACTGACATTTGGAGTCTTTATCAGGATTTCTCCGAAGTTGCCACGTTTGTTTAAAATTAAAAATTAACTAGTAATTTAGCAGTTCTTCTTACAGATTAAAGAAACAGTCAAAATATAATACTAGCGTTTTTTTAAATAAATTAAATACAGGGTGACTATTAATAATGTTTGTAACAAAAAAATCTATCAGTAATTCTTCTAATTTATTACATCAGAATGTTTCAGGTGACGTCAAAAATTTGACGTTTAAGTGTGCCATAGTCAAACTAAGATATAAATTTGACGCCAACTTGAGGTTACAAATCACAATCATTTATAGTCACCCGGTAGAACACAAAATCAAATGTTTTTTTACAAATTAGAAGCCAGTATAAAGAATTTTTGTAAGAAATACAGTGTGAAATGATTAAATCAGTATTTAATCCATATTTCAGTTTTAAGTCTTTAATGAAACTGATAGCATTTTTGTTCTTTGCCCAGTTCTTTCTTTTTCAATATATGAATTTTATTCGTAATACTATACAGGGTGTGTCAGAACTCCCGCATCAGAGAAAAATTTCAAATAAGATAAGATACCAGGAGAATGGAAAAAATGTTTATAAAATTCTATTTGTCAAAAAATTTTGCTATTTATTTTTTGACATTTGACATTTTTTATGTCTGTTTAATAATACTGATGATCTTGCATATGTTTTTTTATAATTATTTAATATAGGTACAAAATTTTTGCCAATAAAAGCCACAAATAACATTAAACAGAGTTACAATTTAGGAGATACAGCTTCCTTGTTTTCTCTCCTAATAGCATGTAGCAAAAAAAAACTTGGAAAATTGTTTTTTTAACAGAAATAAATAGAGTCAAAGTGCAAAATTTAACCTTATATGATATTCTTCTCTGGGGCGCGAGTTCTAGCGCACGCTGTATACCTACCATGATTTTCGTAGTGACCTGTGATTTTGAATTTAAAATGGCAACACCGAATTATTGTTGATATCAAGTCGTTTTCGGCCAGCGACTGTTTCTTGGAAATGAGTGACAATTAACTTTAAAAATGAGACGGTTGAATATGATTGGTTGAAATTACAAATTAATTTTATAGTCATAGGATTCTCTCATCGGAAAGTGACTGTAGTCAACCATTATTGTGATTTTTGTTTTTACGGGGCTACAAATTTAAAGTTTCAATTTGGCAACACTGAGTGTCAAGAAATACAAACATCACGTTTTTTATTGGCAATTGTCATTTATTTGCGATGGGCGGCCGCTGGCATAGTCAGAAGAATTACTAATGCTTCATTGTTGCCAATAGATTTTTTTTGTCATAATTGTCTAGGTCATTGATTGTTGCCAATTTAATTTCAAAGTTGTTGTTTTGCTAATTTGTTCAGATATTTAGTTGAACGCATGGTATTACAAGTAAGCGTAAATTGTTAATTTATTAGCAAAAACAATTTTTTTCAACACCAGGAAATTACTTTTCGACATTTCGACGAGTAAGAAATTAAAATAAGTAATGTGTTGTGAGTTATTTCCGTAATGGTATTTTCAAGGATTAGGCATTCCGACTAAAGGAACTCAAGCAAATAATTTTGTAAATGTTGAAACATGTTAAGTAATTAAATAGTACCTTATTGTTTGGTGTTTATCTTTGTATAATGTTGAAATGTTGAATGTCCAGTAGTTAAGTTTTATTTTATCAAATTATACAGTTGAACTAAACGTTACGCACAAAATTCATTTTTTTGTTGTGGGTCATTGTTTAAAAAAATCTTAAAACAGGTCGATTTTATTTTTATAAATGCTACATTTTGACAGTTTTGTAACGTTTATGACGTCATTGGGTTTTCAATAGTGACTTCGTCATTAATTTTTTTAAATGACAATCAACAATCTTGTTGACTGTTTTTGATAATAGGTACATTCTTCTCTTTTTAAAAGAAAATATTACCAAAAACAGTAAACAAAAATGTTGGTTGCCATTTAGAAAAATACTGATAATGTCGTTACTTAAAAATTATTGATGTTATAAATAATAGTATAATGAAAATTTATCTTTTACAAAAATTAAATCAACCTATTCGAGAATTGTTTTAAAAAAACACATAAAATTATGAATTTTGTGCGCTACTTTGGTTCACTTGTATATTTCTAGTCATTGTAATTTTTAGACCGATTTAATAAAGTTTTTTGTCAGTAGTTATTACGTAACGTAATTTGACTGCTGTCTTGATTTACATCAAGATTAATATTCAAGTTTTGTGTTGATTTTACTTTTAATTAGAGTTTTATTTTTGTTCATTATATTTCATATTCAAGATACCGAACTTTGCTCGCGGCATAACTGACGTAATAGTTATTTGTATTACAAGAGAGGAAACCTTTCTTATGAGAGGTTACATATGTTTTTATTGTAAATTTTGACTGATGAGGGAGGAAAATTTTTGCCTCCTAGGAGGTAATTGGCCACTTTCCTTTTGTGAAATTAGGATGGAGAAACTTACTTTCTGTTAGGGTCGTAGAAATATATTGTTCAGATTTTGGAGTGCAATAATCTGCTATCATTTTTTTTGTCCAACAGAGTTAGTATTTCATTCAATTCAGTGCTAGCAAATAACATTTCTGTGAATACCATTTTCGTTTATATGATTCATTAAAGTAACTCGAGCTACTCAATTCTCACCAGTTTTATTTACTTGGTCAAACATTCTTCTATGAAATGAAATAAATAACCAGTTATTCTCAGGATACTAATCTATCAGTAACAACAAATCATTTTTTGTGTCTCTCTAAACCATACTCTTTGTTGAAAGCCTGAAAATTTATTATCAATACCGTTTTAAACCGAACATTATGGTTGTAAAATACAGTTTCAGAAATACTTTATTTATATCTCTGAAGCTCGTGGTGACATTGTTAATGATACGGCGATAAATATGCCACCACCTACGCACATACATTGTTCATATGTGTAAGCAAATAATTTCTTTATTTTCTCTCATCCGGTTACTCTTTTTAATAGACCAGTCTACCGCCATAAATTACGTACCTTGAATGATAATTACATCTTTACAAAGATAAAATTGGCAACAAATAACATTCTTTTATGAGCCAATGAATAATAATTATTATGTGCAATCAGGAACGACGATGAAATTTTGAATTAATTTTTAATAGGTTTTTTTTCTGTAACACTCATCTGAAAAATTCTGAAACATAAACTCCCACAGAGCTGTGAAAGTTTAAAAGCTGACAGTCATATGTTAATTTTTGTTAGATGTTAAGATTGTTTTACGACTTGAATCGAAATTGCTGTGTCAACTATTTTATTTGGGAAATTAAGGAAATTCTTTTCTCTAATTGATTATTCAAATCACATTGTCATCTCTAAAGCACTTTCTCGGATTCCTGCTGAATAAAAACCGCTAATTTTCTTGTTAACATTTTCGACCTTTTCATGAAACACACCACAAACTCCCATCAACGAGATGCATAATCCCGCAATTAAACTTAATGGTTGCTCCCCCAGACCTCTGCGCTTAAAAAACCTCAGCTTTTTGCCGCCAGGTAACTTGTTCAGACACACTCACATCCCGGGTCTTGTTTATTTGTATTGCGGCGTATTTAACGATTATGTTGTGTGCTGTTGCTGCCGGTGCTCCGCGAAGAAATTACTTACATTTTAACCGAGTGAATTTATACGAGTCACCGGTTGAGATCTATGATAGATGGTCCGGTTCGATAATATGCAGGATGGCGACGGACTGTGTTTTTCATCCTGTCGTCGAGGAGACTTCAATCGGCGATCGAGCGCGGAACTTAGGAAGGTTTGCAGAGGAAATCGTGACATAAATATGATGACAGAGATTAGTTCAATATTTAATTTAAAAGTCTTGAAAGTCTGTCACCATAATGATTTATAAATTGAAGTTGTTTCCCATTACTTTCAATAGAAGTAGATATTAACAGTAACAACACAAGAACTCGTGTTTTGTATAAAAGCTCCTTTATATTATTTTTTATTCTGGAAGCGTAAAATAACGGTAATAATGTTTATTATTCTTGGTTACGAAACTAATGCGTAACTGTTAGATACTTCAATTCTAAATCACTGCTTAATTTTAAATTGTATAGTTTCTAAATCTGTTATTTTAAAATATCAGTCGTTATCTTTAATTACTTACTCACTTAATTGTACCTTTTGAGTAATTACTTGATTTTAACAAATTGTATCTACAGCCTGTGACAGAAATAAACACCTACATTAATTTTAATGACTTAGAGGGTATTCTTTCAAGCATAAAAAAATAAACAAATACGTATTTTCTCTAATGAACTGCAAACGCGTCTACATAATACATTTACTTAATTTATTATAAGTCAGACAATCAAAATAATAGTATCTTTTTATTTTTTAAAATAAGACAAATTTTCTAATAAAGCACCTACATGTCAAAATGTTAAAATGATGAAGAAATTTTAGAAATTCGAACATTCAGATCGTATAGCTTAATAAAAAGAAATACATACTTACACTCAAAAGTTTTAATTCACAATGTCACAAATGCACTTGAAAAACCTGCACAATTGAATAATTAGAAAAAAGAGTACTGCAAAAGATATACTACACTACATTGTCTTCTTCGGTTCAGTATGACGATGGTACCTTATTTTAGGCAAATACTGCTGTATAAGAGAGGATTTAAAAAAGAAAAGAAAACTATTATAACCAAAACATGCAGGGCTGTTACAGTTACAACATAATATGATGCTTAACGAAAATCCAAATGTATTGTTCATCTTTTACTCATGCAAAAACACGTATTAAGAAGTTGAAAATAGTTATTTTTGTTACAAGTATCTAAAATACTACAGTTTTTGCGGACGAATCATTGCTGATGAATCCGCAAAATCGTTTTAGATACGTGTTACAAACAACATTTTTTTGTTAAAGCTCCCAAAACACAAATTCGCACCTCTTATTAAACTCTAGAAAAACTGTATTTTGGGTACTGAGTATCTAAAATAACCATTTTACGTACTATTTTAATGAATCCGGAAAAGACTCATTTTAGGGACTCAAGTGAGTTCCCAAAAGAGCTGTTAGATTAGCACTTTAAGAGTTTTATTTAAAAAAAGTGAAATAATAATTGCTAATATATGAAACAGTAACTTACACTCTCCCAAACTAGATAACGGGGTAGTACTCGTATTTATGAAAATACCTTATATTAGGAACTATTAAACAATAGTTATTATTATTTTTATTATTACAGCTAATTAACTAATTTATTATAATTGAGACTTTTTATAATAATGTGTTATTTATGATGTTATATCATTATTTGCACTAGCAAATTAGTGATTGCATCACGTTAACAAAGTTTTATAATAAGAGACACAGAGAAGCTACCGGCTTGAAGAGTTTCCATTTTGATAGATTACATTTTTCTAATGATTCAATATGAATAAATAAGATAATATGTAAAAATGTTTTGCACAACTAACTTTTTACTTCAGATATAATACATTTGCAAATTTTTTGCTTCATAAACCTACTACTTTCTTCCTACAATATTGATGTTGCTTTTATACCTTACATGTTTTAGAACGGATGTTTTTTTTTAATTTAGCGCTTTAGTTGGCTATAACTATGAGTTTGATGTGAAGGGACCACAATTTTTTATACGGCCAAATGTCAAATCGATAATTCGTTCACAATTAAACTTTCATGACTAGCTTTGAAATTAAAAAAAAAAATAAAAAAAATGCTTACATATTACTATATCACAAAAAATGATTCCTCCGATGGCGGTATTTGTTTAATGTTGCAAGATCTGCCGTTTCTGCTAAAAAAGCTAAAAAGACTCAAACAATTTTTTGGCATGGGAACTTTTAACTCATTTAGATGTCCTTTACCACCCAAGAGATGGTCCGAGACTTTTGAATTTTCCTATACACATATAAAGAAAAAAGTTTATATAATAGGGAATTTATAATAAAGTTCTATATTCTAGATGAATATAGGTATTCTAGTTGATTATAAGTTTATTATTTCTTTGTTTCATAGTCTAGGAATTTTATGTTGTCACGGACAGATCAAATTTTTTCAATATTGCACTTCAAAAGTGTAATTAATATGTACAAAGTGATCCAGAAAGACTGTATCTGTTGGTGGTAACAGATTTGAGTACCTGTGTTTGTTAATAATTTGAAACACTGCAACCGGATACAGTTTAAAGTCAGGATTGCCAACGGATTCATTCTTTGTGGATCATTTTGTATATGAAAATTAAGAGTAATAGAAACAAACGAAATTTAAATTTAAGTTCTGCATGAATAGGGACCACCTATAGTGCCGATAAGTCTTTATGTTTTAGAGTGTCTACTCGAAAAGATCTAGAAAGTCATGCAAATGCTATTTTCTCAAAATTCTTTTAATAGAAGATTTCCAAGACATCAAATGGGACATTCTTTTTCTTTTCCTTAAAATGTTCGTATTGTGTTTTAAATTTAATAATAATAATACTACACTGGTGTAATTTTGTCACAGATAAAGTGCACGGTTGGCTCTAATCGAATTTTAATGCAAATTCTGATTCAGTTTTATTTTTTCTTTATGTAGTATCGTTATCTTGTTACACCTACGTGGAATAGTCTTCAGGGAGCTAATCAAGCAAAGTCAGCGACCTTAATAACCTAAACATGTAACACGAAGAAAGCTCTGAAAAGGGTAGGACATAATTTAATTATTTCACAGTTAGAAGATTTCTTGATAGATATGTCAAATAAAATATCATCTTCTCATTTATTACAAGAGAGAAACTCACTTGTATATGATACAAATTGATGAAAACATTTGTAGGACTTTGATTGAAGTTGTGTTTACAACAGTATAGTTGCGTCATATTGCATTGTTTTGGATTATGCAATGTTTTGAATGAAAACACTTGCCATATTACTTGAAGGAATCTTCTAGTATGTACTGTACAAAATTCTAAATAAATTTGTAACTGTTTCCACTCGCTTCGCTCGCTTTATAAATTTTGAACAATGAAATACGGGTATTCAGGTTGATGTGTCTGAAACATCATTAACTTAATTACTATCATCAAATTACTCCCCGTATCTTGTAAATTGTAAATTTTTGTAAGTCATTAATGGGATAGTCATTGAACCATGAAGCAATCTTGAGTCATAGTTGTAACACTTGTGCATGGCTTATTATTCCACTCTATAATAGTCTGAAAACCACACACATAAGCATCACAATCCACGTCTGTCTTGGCCAAAGAGCTTGATTGACCTTCCAGTGCGGTTCTATCAACATTACGGACTAATTAATCGTAAAGGTTATTCTCGTTAGGCAACTAGATCTAGCGGTTATTTGCCGTTGCAACAAGGAAGAGTAACGCACAACATTCTGCGACCGAATCGGATCATTAGCTTACCGTTACAAGAAAATAATCACAGTTGATTAGTACGTGTCGCAATTGTTGAAACAGACAAAGAATAATAACATTCAGTAGCAACACGATGAGAATTAACGAGACGCACCCTTGGAAAGTTCGTGTGAAGAAAGTAAACTGGATAAAGAGGATTTTTGCAAAGTAGTGGAGTGACCTATGACATCAAATTGTTCACATTTTCTAAGCTTTTACGGTCACGCGTGAACTTTCTTCTCCTTATTGATCGTTTAGTGGAAAAAATACAAGACGAGAAGAAAGCATGTGAATCACGATTAGATTTCTTCGACGAGTTTAAATAAAAACGTAACCACAAATTCAAACGATTTCAAAAGTTATCAAACATGAACAGGGTGTTTCATATAACTTTACGAGGCTTGCGCCTAAACATACAAATGTCACAAAACACTAGATAGAAAAAATACACATTTAATTATTTATTCTAGTTTATCTATCTTAATCACTAAATAACTAAAAATGTTGTAATTTTTGAAAGGGTGAACAAACTGGAGAAAATTATCTAATTTTTCAAAATTTGTAATCGAGTTCGTATCGGAATATATATTATTAATTGCATCTTACAGGCGCAGGCTTCGTAAAATTATGTGAAACACCCTGTATTATTGCTGACACGAAATTTTGGACATCAAAAAAATGTCAATGTAAGCCACGCTTTGATTGACGTTTGAAAACTTAAATTTGTAAGTTTTAATTGAAATTACTTTTGGCGTCGATTTTCCGAAACAATAATACCAGCAATATGTGTTTTTATATAAGTTCAATAAATTATTTAGATTTGTTGTCAGTTTCTCTCTAATTGTCAGGATAAAAATTATAAAAACGAATTGAATGACAAATCGTCCAAAATTCCATTTCCGCAATTGTACATACAATTTCAAAATGTAGGGAAGAAGGAAATAAATAGTTCAAGCCTTATATGCAATCACATATTTCCTGCGACAAAATCAAATATTTGTAAACCGTTATCTAATTACAATTTTTATGTAAATTGAGTCAAAACTCAAGTATTTGCGTATTTTTCAAGATAACATAATCTTGGAAGATTGATTTCGGTTCAGGTACAGTTTTACATTTTCTTACAATGTGGTAACTTTTATGCCTAACGAAATTTGACTTATTTGCACATTACTTTTACTACTGAAATTGTAAATTGGCTATTATGCATACATTTACGAGAGAACGTAACATCGCTTACGAGCACACGTCTTCCATAATCGTTTTATTACTTTAGTCTAAGTAATAATTATATAAAATAATTTTGTCATTAAGCACGCACCAGCTTTCTCTCTATTTTCACGACTGAAGACAGCAAACAGGAGAAAATATTCAAAACAATAAACTAAACTAAATACTTGTCCAAGTCTGTGCAAATAATTTGTTGAGATTAATTACATGAGAGAAAGTCTTAAAAGCAATAAAATAAATGCGTTAAACTGTTGAATAAATTTTTAGCTTTACAAGGATTACTTGAATGTATAATTTGCATATAATGGCAAAGGACTTTAAGATAATTAAATTATGTTTTCGAGTTTCTACGGGATTATATAACATACGGTACAAGATGTTCACTTGCATGGTTTCACTTTTAAAATTCGACAAGTGGTAAAAACTTCCTTATTTGCAAAGTAATTTAAAGCTTGTGACGTCTATAAAAGGATATTCACCGTAAATTGTCAAAAATAAATTGAATTTTTAATTGGTGTCTTATTTATTACTTTTAGAAGCAAAGCTTACCATAAATGTGTCTTTGAATATTTGTTTGAAACCAGTTTCATTTATTTTCTAATTTTTTGTTCACTGTCAAAAACAGAAACCAAATCAACTAAATAACAGTCTTATACACTACTCGTTTAATCGGACAAGAAAATTATATCGTTTTTATATTTTTATACACATGTTAAGTAGGCGTAGAAGCACCAAGCCCACGTACCGTAATCCAATTTTTGTCATTCGTAACTGTTTCGTAATCATAGATTCATCTTCAGGTCAGCGACATTTAAACAAAGCATTTTTTCTTTCTTGTTGCAGAGGGTTGCGTCGAAGTCTCTCGCGAAAACAAGTTCCTTAGCACCCTCACCCCTGGCAAAGTCTTGGGCGAGCTTGCAATCCTCTACAACTGTCAAAGAACTGCCACTATCAAAGCCGCCACCGACTGTAAACTATGGGCCATCGAACGACAATGCTTCCAGACAATAATGATGAGAACCGGTCTTATACGACAGGCCGAATACACCGATTTTCTCAAGAGTGTACCCATCTTCAAGAACCTGCCAGAAGATACTCTCATCAAAATCTCCGACGTTTTGGAAGAAACCTTCTACGCGAATGGAGACTACATCATCAGACAAGGTGCCAGAGGTGACACTTTCTTCATCATCAGTAAAGGAACAGTCAAGGTGACGAAGAAAGTACCCGATAGTAATGAAGAAAAGTACATCAGGACGTTGGGAAAGGGCGATTTCTTCGGGGAGAAGGCGTTGCAAGGGGATGATTTGCGCACGGCGAATATTATTGTTGATAATCCGGAAGGGGTGTACTGTTTGGTTATTGACAGGGAGACGTTTAATCAATTGATTTCGAATCTAGACGAGATCAGGACAAAGTACAAGGATGAGGGTGTGGATAGGAGAAGGTGAGTTGAGTTTGGCATTTTGAGGGTTGTTCTAAACAAAGGTTTTTACAAGCTTAAGGGGATGATGGGTGAGTTAGTTGTTTGACAATCAAAAACAAACTTTTTTAAGCTTTAGACCTAATTTTTGCTCTATTTTTAGAGAAAACGAAGAATTCGAACATGTCCACCTCAGCGATTTGAAAAAGCTCACAACTCTGGGTGTTGGGGGTTTCGGTCGCGTCGAACTCGTTCAAATCCAAGGCGATTCGAATCGCTCGTTCGCCCTGAAGCAAATGAAGAAGGCGCAAATCGTCGAGACGCGTCAACAGCAACATATCATGTCCGAGAAGGAAATTATGGGCGAGGCTAATTGCGACTTTATCGTCAAGTTATTCAAGACGTTTAAAGATCGCAAGTATTTGTATATGCTGATGGAGAGTTGCTTGGGAGGCGAACTGTGGACGGTGTTGAGGGATAAAGGACACTTTGACGATGCCACAACGAGGTTTTATACCGCCTGCGTGGTGGAAGCGTTCGATTATTTGCATTCCCGCAACATTATATACAGGTGAGAAAAAATAAAAGCCAGAATCTCAAGGCGTTTTGCCCTGAAGACTGTTTATTTGGTAGTTTACTAATAATTGAAACTTCTGAGAAGTACCCTTGAAAAAATGCTTGAGCACATATTTTCTCATCTTTTGCATTTATTTGCATAAAAGTTACTCACACTTGTCCACAAGCCTCACTTTAGACACGTTCTCTCAATAAAAAACCATATAGTCGTGTAGGACAAAAAGTCAGGGACAAAACGCTTAGATCTTCAGGTTCTGATAAGATTGTGGGAAAATGTGGCACCAGAACTTGGATTTCTATTCTTTAAACGGATTTTTTATTCAACGATTTGCACGTTTATGTTAATCAGTCACTAACGTTAATTTTCTAAATTTTCAGGGACTTGAAACCGGAAAATCTTCTCTTAGACAATCAAGGCTATGTGAAATTGGTTGATTTTGGATTCGCCAAGAAGCTCCACAGTGGCCGCAAGACGTGGACTTTCTGTGGAACTCCCGAATACGTTGCTCCTGAAGTAATTTTAAACAAAGGGCACGACATAAGCGCCGATTACTGGTCACTGGGCGTACTGATGTTCGAATTGCTGACAGGAACGCCGCCCTTCACAGGGGCCGACCCTATGAAAACCTACAACATAATTTTGAAAGGGATAGACGCCATAGATTTCCCTCGAAATATCACGAGAAACGCCATGGCTCTTATTAAGAAATTGTGCAGAGATAATCCAGCAGAGAGATTGGGATATCAAAAAGGAGGGATTAGTGAAATACAGAAGCATAAGTATGTTGATAAATTGCCAAGTGGGAAATTTTAAAAATTTAATAATTGTTACAGATGGTTCGATGGTTTTAATTGGGAAGGTTTGGTGAACAGGACTTTAACGCCACCCATTTTGCCTCAAGTCAAGCACGTGACCGACACGAGCAACTTTGATGACTATCCCCCAGACACGGATACTCCGCCACCTGACGACATTTCGGGTTGGGATGCTGATTTTTAGCGTAAATACTAATTTAGGTTGTTACAATTGGATATTGATGAGAGCTGTGTGAATTGCAACGCAAACTAGGTATAGGTGCCAACGTTGCAATCGATCGATAATCACATGACAATAATTCTGGTTTTCGACTGATGGTAGATGGCCCCAAAAGCGCACAAGTGCCATTTTAATTTGTTTTAAAAAGGAATTGTTTGTATAATATTTTTTTAATTTACAATACATGTTGTGACTGTTTATATTTTAACAGAAAGTTACCCATTTACATTATGTGTATATTTCAATAATTGTAAAGCAATCAATAATTTAATAATGATGTAAAGTTTTTTATTGTATAAGTTTGTGAATATAAGATGCTAAAGTTGAATGCTCTCTTTTATTTTACTTACTTACTACTCCTTTTTTGGGCTCGAAGATTTTTTTAAATGTAGTAAACTTTTTTTTATCTGAAGCTCTATCTACAGACCTGTAGATCTATCTACAGACCTGTAGATCTATCTACAGACCTGTTGATCTATCTACAGACCTGTAGATCTATCTACAGACCT